TGCGGCTCACTCAGCCTATCACACAGCCCCAGTCCCAGAAGCACCGCCCCCTCCCCACAGGCCTGGAGCGGCAGAGACACTCTCCTCATCTGGCCACTCATCTGGTTTGCCACCCTAATCTTAGAACCTAGTAACTGACCTGTACCCACTGACTGAGCTCCAGGTCAATGCTAGAGGGGCCGGGGGGAGGGGGTTGGGGAGCCGAGGGCTCATCTTACCTGGAACATTGCTCCACTACACAGCTGACCACACCCCAGATCCACTCCCACACCAGAGTCCACAGGTGACTAGCCATGCTGGCTTTAGAACACAGCACTCAACTGTCCTGCCCACCTCAAACGTCCCCAAAGACCAAGGCGGCACCCAGTTTGCTGACCACAGCCTCTAGACTTTATTTCAGCCTGACCTTGGCCAAGTGCGTGCAGTCTGAGTCAAGGGTGGGGGGAGACAGCAAGTCAGCTGATGCCATCAGGGTTTTGCCTCCTCAGGCAGAAAGTATCGCTGCAGTGTGGCCTGCAGAAGCAACGGGGGCAGAGGGCGGGCTGGCCTGGGCCAATCAGGGGGGAAAGGCTGTGGTTCTACGCGAGGCAGCGGCAGCTTCAGCAAGCGCAGTGGGCCACCTGCATGGAGCCGGGGTAGCTTCCGACCTGGCGACAAATGATGAGCCCCGTGCATCAAACAAGGTGTGACCAGAGAGGCTGGGGAGCTCCAGGGCCCTCTATACCTCTGCTCACTCACCCTTCAGGTTCACCCGAGCTGTCTGGATCCTGGTCTCCTGAAGCCTGAGGATGGGTTGGTACCTGAGGGATAAGGAGGCAGGTTCAGACTCCCTGGACTTCCTGTGCCCGCCACGCGTGTCCCCATCCTGCATTTGGCACCCAAGCGCACTTGCGATTCAGGGGCTGCCGAACAACGGTGTTGGGCATGTGAGAACTTGGAGGCTGAGGCTCAGTCTCCTCTGACAGCAAGATGTCGTTCTGCCCCAGCTGCTGCTCACAGAAATAGTTGAGCGCATCGATGGACACCAGGTCCAGCAACTGCAAGCGCGACCATTCTGTCTGCTCCAGTGGCGTCAGCTGGCCCTGTGGCGTGACAGACCCCGAGGAGCATGCAAAGGCCTGCAGCGAGACGGAGAGCGACCGCCGAGTGCGCCAGGCGCACAGCTGAGCCTGAGTCAGCTCGGACTCCGACTCTTGAGCATCCAAGTCCAGTCCAGCACTCGAGGGCTCCAGCAAGTGCACCTCGGGGGTGGGCGAGAGTGTCTCACCGGTGGATGAAGACATCTCTGAATCGTGAGAAGGCATCCAGACAATGTGTGGGGCTGGCCTCACTGGCTGCGATGCCTGTGGCAGGCTCATCTTGGGGAGGACCAATTTCCAGGGCTCGGAGGCATTGGGCAGCTTGTCGGGAAACTTGGCTGCAAACTGCCGTAATTCCATCTGTGGGAGAGGTAGGCGATCGCGGACGCAGCCCGGGTTCGTCTACTAGAGCCATAGCACCAAGGAGAGGTCGTCCCTCCCCGACAGGTGGTCCGCGCGAGACCCCGCTACTACAGATGCTGAGGGAGATCAGGGAGGTCCTGAGAGATGCGTAGGGAGGGGTGGGAATGAGGCAGCAAGACCCATGAGGCACAGGAACCAACTGGCCTGGCCTGGCCTGGCCACCTGGACTTCAGGAAAGCCTGGGGCAAGAAGGCACAAGGCTTGAGCCATCGATGGTCAGTTAGCCCGCCCTACAGTCCCCAGACCTGTAGGTTCTGCATCATGTCCTCCAGCTTTTGACTACAACGACTGCGCAGCAAAGCCTTGGAGTTGAGTTCCGAGCCCTGAGCCCACGTCATCATCTTTTTGAACAGGATCCCCATTGGGTCCTGTAGGCCCAGTGCACTCAGCAGTTTCTTGAGTTCCGGCCTGGGGAGAGGGGTATGCAGTTCAGTCGTGGCCTCCCTCCGGCTGGTGGCAAAAACAAGATGGCGGGGCAGGACTCACTGACAATCAGCGGGCGAGTAGAGAGAGTAAGACATGAGTTCCAGCACCACGTCCCGCGACTCCAGGGAACAGGCCAGGAGCAGCTGCAGCGCCAGCAGAACGAACTGCTTCTGCGTAAAGTCCTGCGTAAAAGCGGCGCCCGGGGTGGTTCCGAAGGGATCTACGGAGATGGGCGGGGTGGGGCGGGACAAGAGCGCACCTGGAGGCTGGGGGGCGGGTCCAGATTGAGCAAGCGCACAAGGCTGCCCCGCAGACGGCTGCGAAGGTCGTCGCTCACGTCAGGCAGTAGTGTCATCAACGCGGTCAGGATGTCCACGCCATCCCCCCATGAGGCCTCCTCCAGCATGTCCACAAGCAGCGAGGCCAGACCCTCCACTGTGCTCATCTCCGGGTACGCCTACGGGACCCGCGTGCTGAGACCGGGAGACCTGGTCTGCACTCACCAAGCCCGCTCACCTTTCTGCTCTCCGGCCCCTGCCCCCCATCTCCACCAGCGCTTCCCAGCCGTCCCAGATGCGCTCGCACCTCCAGGGTGAAGATGGGGAACAGCTTTTTGAACCAGTTCTGGCTGACGAAGTCTTGTAGGAACCTAGGCAGATGTGCATAGCGCTCTTCCCAGTGCAAGGACCTGTGGATTCCGGAGGGCTCCTCCATCTCTGAGGAGTCATCTGCATAGCTGCGGCCCTGCATCTCTGAGCTCTAAGGAGAGTGGCCGGCATTGCAGGTCCCACCTGTCTGGACTGTGGACGCAGAGCCCAGCCCTTCCATGGCAACCCTGGGCATGTACCAGAACCTCTGACTCCAACGCCAAGGGTTGCAGCTCCTCCTCCGAGCGCAGGGAGGTCAAGGTCGACGTGGAAGCCCAGTCCAGCTCTTTCTCCTCCTCATTGTCCAGTTCTTCGCAGGACTTCCTCCCCAGCCAGCGAAGCAGCGTCTGCTGCCATGTGGCAAGGTGCCTTCTGCTCTCGTCTGAGGGCTAAGGAAACAGAGTGGGACGGGCAGGCTATGGGACGTGCCCCAAGCAACTTTCCCTGGCCCTTCCTCCTAAGCCAGCTCTCCCAGCCCGGTTGCTTGCCTTGGGTCTGTCCTGGTGGGGGGTGAGCAGGGCCAGGGATCCAAGACCCCCCATCTCTGTTGGCAGCCATAGGTGCTGCAGCACCACCGAGTTGGGCACAAAGCCAGGGAAGGGGATAGGCCGAAGACCCGGCTGTCGGCAATACTGGAAAAGGGGAGGTCAGAGCAGGAGCAGGATGAGGGACTAGGAGACTTGCCTGGGTCACCCACTTCTCTCTGCAGAGCCCGGAGAGGAGTGAGGTGGGGGAGGCTGTGGATTGCAATGGGTCAGCTTTCTTTGGCTTTGCTCCTCCGAAGGACTTCTAGGCTCAACTATAGAATCCACAGTCAGACCCATCCCTGACGCTCTCCCCTGGAGGATGGTGCAGGTACAACCTGCTGTTGGAACCTCTGGGAGTCACCCTGCTCCAGAGCAGTGGGGAGACTGTCAGAAGGGGTGCTGCAACAGAGCCTAACCAGGCAGGGGGGGAGGAGGAGTCGAGTGGACCCTGGGTCTCCAAGCTGCAGGTAGGCATGGCTTATACACAAGTCAAATTTCAACAGAAAAGTTTACAGCAAAGGTCTATTTGGGTGGGCAAGAAGGAAGACCCACCCCAGGAGGGGTCTTCTAGGGAGACTCGAGAGGGAGTCTTACCTGGTTTGGAGACTTAATTGTGGCAGGAAAGAAGCCTGTGAGATTAGAGAGCAACTTGGGGTGCCTCTTCAGTGGGATCTGGGGATGGGACAGGGGCTCAGAGCTGAGCAGGGACCACAGCATCCCTGCTGTTCTGTTCTCTGTCAGGGGCTCCCCTGCTCGCCTGGAATCCTCACCGTTTCTGGCAGGTCGGGGGACACTGGGTCTAGGGATGCTCGTGTCCCCTTCCAGAAGCGCTCTGATGGAAGCTGCAGGTCCAAACTGAGGCCCAGGGTACAGCTCAGCGAAGACTGAGACAGCAGCTGGGGGTGCAAGGGGAAGACGTGAGTGGAGAGAAGATGGAAGAAGATCGTGAGGGCCGTGCAGGGGGGGCAGATGCCTGACCTCCGATGCCCTGCTGTGCACTTTCCGGGAGGTGGGCAGGATGGGCAAGGCAACCTGGGGAGGGCGGACCAAGTGCTGTCCTAGGCTCCTCAGGTCCTTCGGGGCCACGGCCACTGGTACTGCCTGCCCTTTCTGGAGGCTGGTGACAGCTGTGGGCAGGGCACTGGTGTCCCAGGTCTCTCTCTCCACGGTAAAGGCCATACCCCTCCACTGCTGGAGTACACCTCCAGTCGGCTCCCCCTGGAAGGGAGATGGCAGGTGGGGGTGTTGGAGGTCCCTGTGCACAGTATGGGGCTGGCTCAGGAAGAGGCCTGGGGAGGCCCCTCACCCACCACCAGGCTAGGCCCATAAATCAGATGAAGGTAGTTATCAAAGGCTTCCTGGCGCTGCTTCAAGGAGGGTGGGGGCCGGGCTGTTGGGACCACCAGGCCTAGCCTCAGCCTCTGAAGGTCTTGGTCCCGGGTAGCTAGGACTTCAAAGTCCTGGGGAAAAGGGCAGAAATCAGCTATTTTTGACTTGAGCCAGATGACCACAGGGATTCCACCCCACCTGGGGACTGAAGGCTGAGCCTGGGCAAGGGAACGCTTGGGTAGGATCCCACCTCACCTCCTTTAACATAGGTTGCTGAAATGTCTTCTTCTGCTGACCACTAGAGGACAGTGTGGTGCTGCACACAGAGATGGGTACAGGATTTCCATGGGGATGAGCAGGGGCCAGGACAGGGTCCCCAGGGATCACCAGACCCTGGGATCAGCTGAGGTGACCCCTAAAGACCTCTGGTATGTCTAGGTGGGCCTATGGCAGACCTGAGGCTGGCCACTCCAAGTAGGTTGGCGAGCCGCTGTAACTGGGCTGAGGTCAGCGACTGCTGGTTGGTCAGCGGCAGTGGAGGGTCATCCACCACTTCAGGGGTCTTCCGGCACAGCTTCTGAATAAGAGAGTGGAGCTTGGACCTTTGGCTTAGCCCCCCCTGTCCTCTCCCAGTGGCCCTGCCCTGTCCTCACTGCACACCTTGACCAGGTAAGAAGTGGGCAGGTAGAGCCTGTGGGGCACCAGGCAGAGGTGGGAGCCCAGGGCCAGCACCAGGTCTCCACTGTTGCTGCAGAAGGTCAGGGCCTGGGGGGCGCCGTTCAGCTGCAGGAGCCTGGAGGGTGCCCAGGGCCAGAGTCCAGCTCCTGCTCCACAGCTTGGAAACTGAGGCAGAAACAGGGCAAGGCCCTCTCCCCGAAGCCCAGCCACTAGGATCTGTTAGGGGCAGGGGTAGCAGAGGCCGCAGCCCCATCCCAGCCCCACCCTAACTTCCGTGGCCCCACCTCCGTGTACCCAGCCCCGCCCCCTCAGGCCCAGCCCACCGCAGCAGGCGGTTCTCCGCTGTCCAGATGCGGATGGTACAATCGAGGCTGGACGATGCATAGAGCTTGAGTGAAGGACAGCAGGCCAGGCCTGGGTAGGGGTGATATCGGGGTCAGGAATCAGAGCAGCATAGGCGAATCCTGGGCCTTAGCTTCACCCTGTGCCCTCACCAGTGATATGGTCTGTGGGGTCGTCCTGGGGCCGGTGGTCATAACGCAGGTGGTCATTCATGCCTAACTGCACCAGGCCATAGGTGGCGGTGGCCGGAGCCTCGAAACCCACCGTGATGCGTTTACCAAGCACACAGAGCGCCACTACTGGGTGGCAACAAGAGAAGGTGCGGAGCAAACTCAGGCTTTCCTCGGCATAAGGGAAGACGCGCCACATCTTCACAGTCAAATCTCCCCCTGTGGGCAGCGCAAGCAGGACTTGGTCTTGTGGGGTGTGGAGCCGGAAAATGACTGGGTGAGGCTGGGTAGGAGCTAACCTGAAGACACAATACAGTTCCAGGTTGACGCTAAGGCAGTGACAGGGCCTGGGCTATGTGCCTCCGTGTGGAAAATGGTCCGCGACGAGTGCCACTCCAGCACAGACAATGCACCGTCCGTGTGTCCCAACACAGGCAGGTACCTGTGGGCAGCGGCAGAGAAGGTTGGCGCCTGCCCAGTTCCTGTACGCCTGCCCGGCCCTTGCCAGCTCTGGCGCCCACCGATTCTTGTCGTTCAGGGTCCAAGGCGTGTCAGTTCGGTGCCGTTGGCCTCCATGCTGGCGCACAGCTTTCCAAGAATCGTGTGCGCTCCCGGGGTTGGTGAGGTGGCTGTAAAGATGTAGACAGCAGGGCCGCGGTGCAGGGGCGGGTGGCGGGCGCACACGATACAGCACTTGCATAGGGCAGTGAGCTGCGTTGGCACGCACCAGGTGCCCTGCTATCGTCAGCAGCCACAGCGCCTCCAGCGGCAGGCAGTAGGCCACGGCAGTCGCGCGGTCGTCCGGCCTTAGAAGCAGAGCGTTCACTAGACGCCCTGTAGTGGCTGACACCAAGCAGACGGAGCCGTCGGCACAAGAGCATACTAGACGCGTGGGTAGCGGCGGGTGAGGATGCACGGGCAGAGCAGGCGCCACTTGCAGGAAGAGCACTGGGGCCGGCAGCTGCGCCAACTGTGTGTAGAGCTCCCGCACACGCCACAGCTCCACGCTATCAGTGCTCAATGAGAGGACCGGCCAGCCAGGGCTGGCAGGCGCTAGCAAGCTATTCACAAGCCCAAATGGGACCTCACGACCCCAACAACACAACATCACCTTGCCCACCTGTGCCCCCGCCTGCAGGTCCCATGTGCGCAGTGTCCTATCCTGCGAGGCTGACAGCACCAGGGCTGTGTTCGGGAGCACGGTCAGAGCCGTCACCGGGCCTGTGGGGAGTGTGTGGATCACCCAGGGTGCCTCGGTGATCCACACAGTCAGCCCAGGTGAAGGGCAGTGCAGAGAAGTGTGGCTAGAGGAGCGGAGAGCCCCCTAAAGGAGTGCTATTTATGACAGAGGACCTGCTGGTGCAGGGAGAGTGGCCCCAAAGCTACCATAGCGAGGCACAGCCCACCTGTGTGGCCCACGAATACTGTCCGGATCTGCCAGTCGGTCTCCCACACCTTCACTGTGCTGTCCCTAGAAGCAGTCACCATGGCCTTAACCTTTTCACAGTAGGCCAGGTCTGAGATGATGCTGTGGGTATAGGAGGGTGGGCCGACTCAGCTCTAGCTGAGACCTACATCTAGGGTGTGCACCTGGGCCCACCCTACACCAGCTCACCCCCCACTGCTGGGCCAGCAGCGCCCCCTCACGTTTTGTGCAGGTCCCGGCGCACATCTACAAGAGCCCAGCCGTAAAGATCAAAGGTAAGTACTGCAGAACCGTAGGCCACGAAGCAGTGCGGAAGGTGGCAGGGTTGCTCGCCTCCCAAAGCCAGACGCGTGATCACGCCGGTGATGTCCCGAGGTGGCTTCAGTAGAGGCCCATGTGGCACCAGGAGGCGACCACCTGAGCGGGACTTCCAGAGCTCCAGGCCTCCGCCCACCACCGCTACAACTAGCAGCCCTGAGTTGGGCACCGGTAGGCAGCAGATGGGCTCAAGGCTCTGCCCCCTGCCCGCCCCCTGCTTACTATGCCATAGCAAGCAGAGGTTGGGCCCTAGTATCACCAGCCCCTCTGGGCCCCAGCCCACAAAGCGGCCCACAGTGCCCAGAGGACCTGGCACAGCCACCAAGCCTGTGATCTGGGCAGGGGCCAGCAGCTTCTCTTGAGCCCAGCCATCCTCTCTGTGCAGGTGTAGGAAGCCCAAGCCATCTAGCACCACCAGGCGTCCACCCATGGGGTCCTGGGCCACTGAGCGCAATCGGGCCACGTCCAGGCGGCGCAGTGGCTCCAGCCCATGTGTCAAGCGCATGACCCGCAGCTCAGCTCGCTTCTCCTGCAGGTCCAGGATCAAAGAGGGGGTGAGGGGGGTGTGTGTGGGAAACATCAGGGTCAACGAGGAGACAGGGCGTTACAGCTTGGGAAAACCCAAGAGAAGCCAGAGAACCGGACAAGGGCATGCTGGGAACCTGAGGGAAGGGCTGAGCTTGAGAGAAAGCTTTGAGGCCGCACCTTTTCCACCAAGTCGTGGAGACCCGTGCGCAGGAGTAACCACAGCTGGCGGGCACGGGAACGTGGGGTCATGTTGCGCCACCGTGGGCTAGTAGTGAAAATCCGCAGGAACTGTGTGGTCTCTGATAACAGCGACTCTGCATGTGAGCAGTGGACACCCTGTCACCACACTGTCTTCAACCCCCAACCCTGGACATCCGGCAGCCTGGAGACCCCCACTGAGGGTCCTGCCGGCTCATGGAGCTGGTGCCTTCTCAGGGGCTGAGGAGCGCTTGAAACCTGCTTGTAGAGCAGGATATGTGGAGCGCCAGATGAAGCAGCCCTCACCATTTTTTTCCCTTAGAAGCCCCGGGTCTGGGACATCATAGATGTCTATGTCATACAGGTCCGTGTCCAGAAAAAGGTGGTTGCTGTCCTCTGCGAGAAAGCTGCTCCTGGTGAACGCTTTCGACTCCATTTTGGAGGCTTGAGGTTCCAGGCCCCCTAACAGCTCTTGGGATCTAGCGGTCAAGGCAGCACTGGCTGTTGCTAGGATACACGACGACGCCAGCCCCGCCCCAACGCAGGCCCCGCCCCCTCCCCTTGCCGCCCACCTCCGCCGCCAGCCCCGCCTTTGTGTCAGCACTAAGTCACAGGAACTTTTTATTGGAAACAAACAAGCTGCAGCAAAGTGACACTCAGTGCACGTGGTGGACCGGGCAAAGTGGGGGTTGGGGGGGGTACAGATGGAGGCCAGGTCTGGCCGCCCACGCCCAGAATAGGCGACTGCCGGTGCCTGTTACCAGGACTGGGCAGTCGTTTCTTGGGGCTGGAGTGTAAAGGTTCAGGCCTTGCCCCATACAAAATAGAAAAATAAACTCTGTGGTCCAGCTGTCCCTGTCTTGTGGCAGTTCGTTTGGGCAGGACAGTTGCTTTGTCCACTAGGCCCCATGCTGTCCTGTCCTGCCACCGTATGGACAGCAAGAACCTGTGGGGGCGAGTGGACATTTAAAGGCTAGAGCCAAAGGGGTTTCGGGCTGGCCTTGGGCAGTGCCAGGGCTGTAACCAGCAGCTAAGGGAGGTGCACAGGCCTCTCAGGTGGGCAGGTCCAGGTATCAGTTGAAGCTGGATGAAGCAAGGGCTCCACTCCTCCCAGTCACATACAGATCACCTGGACCCTGGACAGAGATGGGTACAGAGCGGGCCATGAGGAGCCAAGACCCAGGAGACCAGGAAGGAGGAGGTATCCTCCCTACCTCCGACCCCAGGCTCCAGGGACCCTTGCATTGGCCACGGTCACACACCTGTCCTCCTCAATGGTGCTGGTCTCCTCGGCCCCACCCTCACTGCCCCTGCCTCTGCCTTCGTCCTCCTCCTCATCTTCTTCCAGCTCCATGTCCAACTCGTTGCCTGCTTCTGAGCGGGTATAGGTGGAGCCACTGGGGAGTCGGGAAGACCAGTCTTAGGACACCTACCCCAGGCCTGTTGTTGGATCCTGAGGCCTGGGCAGCATGGCTCAGGACAGTCAGGAGTGGGGTGGGGCCCCGGGGAGGGGAGGCAGATGCTGCCCACCTGATAGAACGACAGCTAAAGAAGACAATCCGCTTCAGTCGCTTGTTGTAGAAGAAGTAGTTGAAGGACCAGAGACTGCCATCCTCCCCGAAGGGATCTGAGTCTAAGTCTGGGTTGTAGCTGGGAGTGTGGGTGAGAAGAAGTGTGAGGCCCAAGTATCACTGACCTAGGGCCCCCCTGGACGGACACTAGCCCACCTGTAGATGTCGCATTCCGCCAGGCAGATCTCCTCGTCCACAGCGTTCCACAGTTGCGGCTTCAGGGCCTTGAAATCCTCACGCACTGCTGAGAACAGGCTGCAGTTGACGGCGTTCACCACCTAGAGCAGGTCACGGTCAGGCTGGCAGGAGCCAGGGGCACTGGGATGGGGGCTGTACAGTGGGATGGTTAGGGGGCCATGGGTTCTATCTGTCCGCCTCACCCAGCTGAGGCTGGGCTCCCGGCTGAACTCATGGCTTCGGGCTGTGCTGAAGTCATAATCGGGTCGGAATGACTCATTGAGCGTTGCAATCAAGTAGAAGAGGGTCTTTCGGCTGCACTTGTCACTGAGGGGACCCTCGTCCTCGCCGCCCTGGCTCTTACTCAGTCTGAATAAAGAAATGTGTCAGTGAGCACTGCACTGTGTCCCACTTCTGCCCCCCAGCTATGGGAAGGCTGGACCCTGGCTCACCGGCTGGGACTGAGCCCTGAGGTCTGGGGTGGGGACAGTGCTTCCAGCACGTGGGGCTGGCCCTCCTGGCAGAACTGCTTGAACATGTGTTTGTCGTCTCCTGCCATTTTACACGAGTAGCTCTCGATCCTATAGGGGGAGGAGAGGGATGCAGGCGGGACTCGGATCATGTCCCCTCCCTGGCTCGTCCAGGGCTGAGGGACCCTCGAAAAGCCATCTCACCTGCCAATGATGTGGGCATCTCCTGTCTCCACAGTCAGCTGTGAGTTGATGGCCTCGAAGCTGGAGTTCTCCAATAGCTTCATGCTCCTTCGAGTGGGGGCGCTGTGCTCCAAAAGAACTAGTGCTGCCTGAGGGTGCCAGAGGCCAGGTCCTGGGTGTCCGGCTCTGGGGCTCCTCCTGCCTCAGTAAGTGGAAAGGCTGTAAACAAGGTGGCAGCCCAGACTTCTCCAGCTCACACCCCTCCCCCTGTCTGATCCTGTTACCTGAGGCTCAGCCACACCCCTGCATTTCACAGAAGTTCTGGCCAGACTTGGGGAACCCTGGAGCTGCTGGCTGAATCTATCCAACTCCCCCTTTCCGCGACAGAAGAGTCCCACCCACAATAAAGTCGGTGAAGGGACACGACTGCAGTGCCCCTCAACCCGGGCTGGGGTCTTCAGTCGGGATATGAACCCCACTAACTTATGGGCCATGACACCTGGGGTTCCAGACCTGCAGTCACCTAGGCGGGGTGCTGTTCCCCGGAAAGGGCTCGAGGAAAACCATAAGCTTCGTTCTCCGAGAGTGCGCCTGATTACATTGGTCGCCCAAGAGCGGAGGGACGCCCCACCGCCCACAAAAGACTTGATTGAACACTAGCAACTACGTGCAGCTCCCGTTGGATAGCAGACGGACTATAAATCCCAGAAAGCATTGCGGCCGGGAGGGGCGCACGCATACTGGCGCGGGGCCTGCTGGGAGCTGTAGTTCGGCCCAGGGGACAGCGGTCAGGCGCCGGACGGACACCTACCTGTTTAGGATGGGCTAGGTCCGGCTGGGTCGGGTCGGGTCGGGTCGATTGGCGTCGTGTCGGAGAGTGAGTGGTGCGGGCTCTGGGCAGCGCGGGTTCCTCAGGACCGGAGAATGGCGAGGCGACCTCCAGTCGGACCGCACTGTATCCGGGGGAAGAAGCTCCGCGACGACGTCCCGTTACTCCCGGCCTTGCCGGCCCATCCGGGCTGCCACCGCGACATAGCCTCGCCCCCCTGCACAGTGTCGACTACCGCGACCGACCTGCCCGCCGACCGCCACAGATCGCCCCAGCGACCGAGCGAGCAAGCGAGCGACCTCCGCCTCTCTCTGCCGGACAATAACAAGCGTCCGCAAGGCCCGGCCCCAGATCTCTGAATGGCCCGCTCCAGCCTCCTGGATCCAGAATTCGGATTGTCATTGGGAAGATTACCCGCCGTTCATTTTTCTCTTCCATTTCTACTGGCTGGTGAACCTGTCCGTCAGTCTTCTCGGAAGTGCGAACCCGCCTTCCTTCCTACCGCTCATTGGCCGGACCTGATCCGCTCCACCTCCTGGCTGCGCACCGGCTATGGCCGCAGCTGCTCGCCTTACGCAGCCCAGTGTGGGCGTGGCGCGTGGCGGTGGAAGGGGCGGTGCGGTGAAGCTCCTCCTCTGTGCCCGAGGGGCAGATCTCCTGACTAGGCGGGGCATAGTGTTCTAGCCCGAGGCTGGGTGTGTTGTGGTTCCTCGGCTAGTACTTAACTTGTGCATGCCCGACTCCTAGGGGCAGGAACGGGGCTCGCTTTCTCCTATGACTGTGCTACCGTCCGTGATAGTTGACCCCTACACACAGGCGTCAAGGCCCAATTAGTTAGTTCAAACGTGACTGCCCCGGATATGGTGTCCCGTGATGCTCGGGAAGAACATGGGCGTCCCCATCCCTGGGCTGGAAGGGCGGTTAAGCTCCGCTGCTTCGCACCACCAACTGGCCGCCATTCCCGCCGCGCCCGGAACCCCAGATTCGCGGTTTTAGTTTCCGGTCGGCCGAGGCTCTTAGTTGTCCGGTTCACGGAAGCGGAGTCGGAGCGCCTTGACCGGCCGGACCGGAAATGGCCCCGCCGGCGGGCGGTGAGGCGTTGGTGGGCTCGGAACCGGACTCGACCACTGCCCTGCTGACAGTACATGCCACCGTGAGGCCGCTGGGCGCTGCGCCGGATGCCGAGGCGCAACTGCAAAGGCTGCAGCTGAGCGCGGACCCCGAGCGACCCGGGCGCTTCCGGCTGGAGTTGCTGAGCGCGGGGCCCGGGGCGGTGAGTGGGGGCGCGCGGGGCGGCTGGCCAGGTTCCACCGCGTACCTTTGAGCAATTATTTTATTAGCTTCCGTTTCTTCGTCTGTAAAGTGGGCATACTGTCGGTACGTATCTCCCTTTATGGAGTTCTGATGTGGCGCCGTAGGATCAGCACTGGACTGTGAACCACAAGGTTGGCAGTTCAAACCCACCAGCATCTCCTGGGAAACCTTATGCAGGGCCGCTGTGAGTCGGCAACAACAGCGATGTCTACTACCGTTATGGACTGCTGGTGTGGTGCTGTAGGGTCAGTACTGGACGTTGAACTGAGTGTACACTTCACGATCTTTATAGGACTAGTGTGAGAATTTCATGATTGTAAGTTTAAAGGGCTGTAAAGGATACCTTTTGTTCCTTTGGTTGTCGTGGGTCTGGCGAGAGGCCCTAAGTCTGGTTTCCCCCCCTCCTCAGGTCAGATTGGAGTGGCCCTTGGAGTCAGTCACCTATACTGTCCGAGGACCCAACCTGCATGAGCTGCAGACTCCTCCAGGAGGGCCTGGGGCCCTCAGCCTGCACTTTGCCAACCCTCAGGAAGCTCAGCAGTGGGCAGCCCTGGTCCAGGGAGCCACTGTGGAGAGACCGAATGGTCAGTACCCTGGGATCGAGATGCATTCGCTCTCCTAGGGGCTGTATTTGTGCTGGGAGAGAGTCCCGGAGGAGGGCGTGGAGGAGGTCTGGGAAGGCACCCCCTGGGAAGGAAGGAGGGGCAGGAGCCCAGATGAGCATCAGCACAGGCTGTCAGGGCTGGATGTACTCATGGAGCCGTGACCATCTCAGGATTGGGCCTCTTGAGACTGGTGTCATGTTGAGAAGGTGGGTTGGAGAGAAGGCTGCTTCCAAAGGTGTTAGGATTTCAGGGCTGTTTAAATGGAAGAGCTAGCAGATCTCCCAGGTAGGCACTGGTCTGGGACGAACCAAGGACAGGGGTCCTGCCAACTGCCAGGGCTAGCAGTGACGCGCCAAAACACCTAGCAAGAGTGGTTGGATCTGGGCCAGAGCTGGGCTCAGAGGTCAAGAAAGGAAGGAGAAAAGCCAAGGTCACCAGGAGGAATATGGAGAGGTGTCCGATATATACACTGTGGGAACCATGGGAAGACCCACAGAAAGGCAGAGCAATGTGAAATAGCGCCTGGGAGCAAGAGCTGACCCTCACACATACTCCTTCCTGCGTTCTTCAGACACGAATTCTGCTTTTAGTGTGCATTAAGCGCTCATCCAGAAAAGTCAGTAACTACCAAAACTTGGGAACTTGCATGAGTTTGGTTGGGGCAAGTGCAGGCTTACAAAACAAGTAAATAAAATCCCTTTAGATGGTGGTGGGAATGAGAATGCTGGAATCAGAAGCGCTGACATTTAAAACTGAGTGCCAGGGAAACCTTTCCGAGGTGACCTGGTGAAATTAGGACGTCGTGGCTGAGTCTCATGGCCAAGGTAACAGCAAGTGCAAAGGCCCTGAAGCGGCATGTGTGCATCTGAGACTCAACAGAGGTCCATGCAGTTCATGGCCCCGTTCCCACCTGAGCCCGCACATAGCTCAATAACCAAGGGTCTTTGGCCTTCCAGCATGTGTGCGCTCTGGGTGCAGAGCAGGAATGTAAAACAGCCTGCATGCCTAGCAGTAAAAAGCAGCTCAGAGCCAGTGGCTAGTGAGGGTCTGGAATGGGAGCCGCTGATTGTGTTCTGTGCCGATGACAAAGCAGGAGACAGAAGTCCCGAGGCCACCGTATCATAGCTCAGTCTCTGGAAGTGAAGATGGGCAGGATCTGGCAGCAGAAGGGTCCAGCAGGACTCTGGGGCATAAGCAGACATGGGCATGGGTCAGTACACAGGACTGAGACAAAGGGGCTAGAAGCTTGAGGTCCAAGAGCCGAGGACTAAGGTGAGGGACAGCTTCAAGCACGGGACTTTCAGCAGGGGGACTATTCACATTGGTAAGCTGCCCATCCTCATCTTTCTTTCTAGGCAGCAGCAGCTCACCCCCAGCCCTGGGCCCGGAGACCTGCCCTGTTTCCCTTCCTAGTCACCCTGAAGCCCCTACTGCTGTGTCTCTTGAACCCGAGGCAGACCCTCCCTGGAGCCCTGGAGATTTGATGGAGAGAGGTACAGGCAGGGTCAAGGGGATGGAGGAGTGGCCTGTGCCCAACTGTGATCATGGCCTTCTCCTCCTCACAGAAGAGCTGGTGGGACGCCTGGCCCGGGCCATCGAGAGTGGGGACGAGAAGCATGCGGCCCAAGCAGCAGCCGTGCTAGCTCAGCGTCACGTGGGCCTTAGTGTCCAGCTCCAGGAGGCCTGCTTCCCACCTGGCCCCATCAGGTGAGGCTGGGCCTGACTCCTCTCCTTGGCCCTGCCTCCTTCCCTGACGTCCCCCTGACCCATGTTCTAACCCAGGCTGCAGGTCACTGTTGAGGACGCCGCCTCCTCTGCCCCCATCACCCTGCAGGTCCACCCCCACTGCACTGTGGCAGCCCTGCAGGAACAGGTGAGCACAGGCTCTGGGGAGGCCTCCATGGGTGGCAGAGTGAGGGACACCACCCTTGTCTACCTCGGCCCCAGGTCTTTTCGGAGTTTGGCTTCCCGCCAGCTGTGCAGCGCTGGGTCATCGGGCGGTGCCTGTGTGTGCCCCAGCGCAGCCTGGCCTCCTATGGAGTTCGACACAATGGGGACCCTGCATTTCTCTACTTGCTCTCAGCCCCTCACAAAGCCCCAGGTTAGTCCTCAGGTGGGACGTATGGCTGAGGGAGGGGGGATGCAGCTTGAGCCAGCCCTGAACCCACTGTCTGCCACAGGATGCAGCCCTCAGTGGTCCAAGAAGACAGATGGGGAGCTAGGCCGCCTGTTCCCCCAGTCACTGGGGCTTCCCCGAGTCCCCCAACCTGCCAGCTCCAGTCTCCCCAGCCCTCTGCAGGTGGGCCAGGGACTGGATGGAGGATGGGGGTGGGCAGGGCTTCTACAGCCCTGGAAGGGAAGGGCCAGCAACCACAGTGTCCCCGTAGCCTGGCTGGTCCTGCCCGTCCTGCACCTTCATCAACACCCTGAGCCGACCGGGCTGTGAGATGTGCAGCACCCAGAGACCCTGTGCTCGGAATCCTCTCCCCGCAACTTCCAGCCAGCAGCCACCAAAGGTACCAGAGGCAAGAGAAGGGGGAGTGGATGGGCAGCCCTAGGAACCAGCAGGCATGACTGCTCTCCCACAGGTCGCAAGGAGAGAGGAAGGTCCATACCTCCCAGGTCTCTTGGACCTCTGCTGACTTTTCAGGTGGCCAGAGCCAGGCTGGGGGTTCCACAAGTGGCACCATTAAAGACACTTCTGAGCCAGTGAATGCTGTGCAGTGCTCTGTGGGGGGCTGTAGCAGGGTGCCTCTGGCACTGACCATGGGCTCGGGGGCTCCACATACTGTCTCACTTCCTGGTTTGTGCCCTCTGTAGATTCGCCACCAGTCCTTGTGGCTCAGCCAGGACACATTTACTGGAGATGGAGGCAGGTAGTTGGACAAGAATTCAAGGTAGTTGGACAAGAATTCAAAGTCCAGACACCTTCCCCTCCACGTACTGCTGTGTGAACCCAGCCCATGCTGAGCTGGCAGGCCTAGCCCTGCCACCAGAGGTCCTATGTGCTGGAGGACACAAAACACGTACTGCCCTCCCTTATCTGTCATCCCTGCTTCCTTAATGGCAGGGAGCTGGTTCTCTGCCCTGTCCTACACTTGCTTGCTCCTAGCATCCCCTGCAAGCCTGCACACCATTCACACAAGTGCTCATGTGATTTCCGTTGAGAAGAGAAACTTAATTTATTCCCGTGATCGGGCTGAAGGGAAGCCGGAGCTGGAGCCTTATCTCCCACTCCCTCCCCTCTGTCTCAGTGGCAGGAGTTTGAATGGATGGCCCAGCTGAGGCCTGACCAGGCCCAGGGTGACTTTTGGGCACAAGGCTCCTGGCTTGGGCTCAGGCGGGACAGCAGCAGGTGTCAGGCAGGATCACTTGGGTGGCCGATATGCCATCTTCCGGCTCTTCAAGACTGACCACTTATGCCGCTTCATGGCATACACCAGGGGCAGCAGCAAACCCATCATCATCAACATCTGGAGGACAAAGGAGGCTTAGAGAGAGCTGGCCAGGCCCTGCCAGCTCTCACAACTCTGTGCCCTGGTCAGCCCTCTCACCTTCAGCCCCATGCGCTTGCGATGGTCATGTTCTGGCTCAGATGCCCAGCGTAGGAAGGTACACACGTCTTTGGCCACTTGGGACATGGTGGCTGGGGTGCCTGGGCCAAGGATAAGTTGGTGAGGGCTGTCCTTGGAGACACTGTCCACTATGGGATAGCCTCAGAGTGCACCTGCCCTCCCCCCCTCCCCCCACAGCAGAGATGGGCTATGAGGGTTGCCCATGAGCCCCCTTGGACATGTAGACAGCCACAGGAGAGCTGGACCTTAGCCCACCCCCAGGAGGGAGGGAGACAAGACCCTGCATAGGATCCCCAGGGCGGGGGGCTTCTCACCATCATCAAACTCCAGCACTTCGTTGTAAATGGGGGGAGCCATGCCAATGGCCTGCCCAGGGAAGTAGGGGTTGAAGTAGAGACCTTCTCGCAGTGACACTCCGGTGGGTGGCTCACAGTAGCCCGTGAGCAGGGAGAAGACATAGTCTTCGCCACCATGCCTGAGACCAGATCCGCAGCTCATCAGCTCCACGTGCATCAACCCCACCTCAGTCTCCCCAGCACCAACCCATGGACGCCGTGTACCTGGCTCACCTAGCTCGCACGATGTAACTGAGGTCAGGGGGCACAGCCCCGTTGTTGGCCACACGGGCTGCCTCAGGGTTGGGGTATGGTTTAGGAAAGTAGTCAGACAGCTTGCCTGGACGTGTGAACATCTCCCCATCCTCATTGGGGCCGTCCTGTATCTCCACCTACCAGCGAGATGCCCCATCACAACCTTACTGCCCACCACACTGGGCACCCCAAGCCCGGGCTCCTTGGTGCCCCCTAGTCCCACACCTCCTCTGCCAAGGCCTTGGCTTCTTCCTCCGTGTAGCACACGCCCACCAGGTGGCGGTAAGCCAGGTAGTCCATGCTGTGACAGGAAGAGCACACCTGCTTGTACACCTGGAAACCCCTCCGGATGCTAAAGAGAGGGACTGGGTTAGGGGAGCGCCGAGGCCAGCCCCCCCAACCCCCCCAGACATGCCCCCCACCACCGGCCACACACCTGGTGTGGTCCAGGGACGAGAGGAGCCCACGGTGAGACCACGGGTAGCTGGGGGGGTGCAGCTCCAGGTCACTGGCACCGACGGCGGTGTGCAGAGCCATGGCCAGCCCCGCACCCCCAGCAGCTAGCATGCCCAGCGCTGACAGCATCACCTTCCGGCCCCGGGACAGACCGGGCTTCGATGACAAGGACACTGCCTGCAAGAGCCCCGCTCAGCGCCTGCCAGGACGTGGCCCGGCCCCACCTGGGGACCTGTCACTGCCCAGAACGCTCCGTTCCTCTCGTCCAGCCAGCACTGGTCACCTACTGCCCCACTGCCCGCCCACCCAAACCACTGCTGACCCCTCGATCCGGTTCGACCCTGGACGACTGAGGGAAGGTCTGAGGTCCCGGGCCAGGGCTCAGGTCAAAATGATCAGGGGAGCTGGGGCCGGCCAAGGTCACCAGCAGTTGGCCGAGGTCAGGCTGGGTGTGGACGGCGGGAGTCCGGAGCCGGCCCGGCGCGCGCCCTCCAGGGGGATGCCACTGCCCAACTCGGCAGCGAGCCCTTCCGCCGCCCCCCACCCGCGAAGCAGGCGCCCCTTATGCTGGACGGTGCGGGCACCCGACCACGCGCCCGAGCGCCCAAGGTCGGCAGGCATCGCGGGGCCCAGCCGGGACGGGGGGCGCAAGGACACCGACACAGCTCCCTCGCTGTCCCAACCCGCGCCCGGAGCCTCCCCGCCGTGACCTTCACGGAGCTGCAGGGCCGCGCGCCGGGCGGGACCTGGCCGAGCGCTAACCTGAGGCGTCCGTATGGGGAGCTGCCCCGGCCGTGCGCCGCGCAGCAGCCCTCGGGCTCGTGCACCCGGGAGCCCCGCGCCCCGCGGACCCAGCACCGCGCCGAGCACCGAAGCCGCAGCTGCCGCCATTTTGGCCCTCCTCAGCGCGGCCGCGGCTCCCGTCAGCCCCTGCGGAGGCCCGCGAACTCTACTGTCGCGAGAGTCCCGGCTCCGAGGCGGAGCAGGGTTTCTAGGGACGGGGCGTGGCCTCCCGGCATGGGGCGGGTCGGGCTCTGCACGAAAAGAAGCTGGGCGCTGCTTCACGCTTCGCTCTTTTGGGTCGTCATGCCAACCGACGGCTGGGCGGGACCTTGACGCATTTCTCCGTTGCCGTGACAACACCGTTGTTGCTAGGCGTCATCAAGCTGGTACTGACTGATAGCGACCCTATGCACAAGAGAAGGAAACACTGCCTAGCCAACCCGTCTTTTCCCCTGACCCTCCACCTTACCAAACATGCTATCTTTCTCCAGTGACTGGTCCCTCTTGACAACAGCCCAAGTATGAGAGACGAAAGCTGGCCATCTTGGGTTCCAAGGAGCACTCTGGCTGTACGTCTCCCAACAGATCTATTCGTTATTTTGGCAGCCCATGATACTTTAAGAATTTTCCTCCGACACCATAATTCAAATGCATCAATTCTACAGTCTTCCTTACTCACTGTCCAGCTTTCGCATGCATATAAGGTTATTGAAAATACCTTGGGTCAGGTGCACCTTAGTCCTTAAACAGATATCTTTGTTCTTCAACATTAAAAAGGTCTTATGCAGCAGATTTGCCAAATGCAATACCTTGTTTGTGATTTCTTGACTGCTGCTTCCATGAGTGTTGATGGTGACTGGAGAAACATGAAGTCTTTGACAGCTTCAATCATTTTTCCATTTATATGGATGCTGTTTATTGGTCCAGTGGGGAGGATTTTTGTTTTCTTTACATTGAGATGCAATCTATACCGAAGGCTGTGCTCTTTGATCTTCATCAGTAAATATTTTAAGTTCTGTTCACTTACAGCAAGCAAGGTTGTATCATCTGCATACCGCAGGTTGTTAATGAGCCCTCCAATCCTGAAGCCACATTTTTCTTCATATAACCCGGCTTCTTGGATTATTTGCTCGGAGTACAGGTTGAATAAGTATGGTGGAAGAATAAACCCTGGCGCACAGCTTTCTTAAACCACTCAGCGTTCCCATGTTCTGTTCGAACAACTGCCTCTTGGTCCAGGTACACATTCCTCATGAGCCCAATTAAGTGGTCCAAAATGCTCATACTTTGCAATATTGTTCATAGC